CTGGAACCTTATCCCTTTAAAACGACAAACCTGGCGAGACTGATGATGTGTGTTATCCAATATCAAATCAATGTTAAAACGTAAAGTGGGGCTATTCCATCAGAAATGTATAACAGGGCCGACATCACATACATCTACAGGTTTGGTATACAGGCGATCAAACGTGTTCCCAAATTAGTATGTAGGTGTTAATACTCATCAAAATACAGGTAAACATGTTAGGTCTGAATTCATCAAAATGCAGGTAAACATTTATGCTGGATCTGTATGTCATACGTATACAGTCATGGTTACTTAGCGATATATAAATGTATACTTATAAAAACATGTTTGTCAACATTCTGGTATATATGATAAACTTAAAAGTCGTCAATTTTATGAGCACACACATAGTATTACAGTACGGTACCTGTTATCTTAACCATATTTCAAATATAGAAATCCGTTTATCCATAGAAACATATAGGCATACTAACTTCTTGTTATTCTCATCGTAACCAATTTCTTTCATTTCCTGATGCACCCCTTCCGCCCTCCCCTCCCTGATTTCTTCTTCTTCTCTTTGTCTGTTATGCTATCAAAATATATGTAACAGTGCCGTCCTACTGTCAGGTTTATTAATAAGGAGACGAATAGATTTAAGTTTGTACTTGTTTTCGAATCCTCTTTGTTGATTTTGTATTATTTTTTCACTGCCATATATTGAATAAAAATACTGTTTAAACTAAGGCCTGTTATGTAATGATTCACGGTACAAAGATGTAAAGCCTATTGTCTAAATTTCTGAATGATTTATTTCGTTAAAAACGCGTTATAAATCATTGCAAAATGACTGTCTCACTTTTGAATTAATTTTTATTTAGAATAGCCGTATAGAAAAACTATCGTTAAACGTCCGCTTGATATATAGTGAACTAGCCACAGTTTGTACAAATAAAAGTTCGAAATATCAAAGGTTTAATGTTAAGCGTTGATGTCCTATAATTTAGATCAGACACGGTCGTGTCACCTACACGAGTTGACACAGATTAATGTGTGGGAAATAAGTTGTGGTGTCTCAAAACTCAAGCTTTAGTCATACACATGGGCTTCAATTCGTGTTATAGTCATGGGCATCAGCAGAAGCACACGGTGAACATTTCAGGACTATAACGTTATAGATTGGTTCAGGTATTAAACAATGATTGTCAGGAATGGAAAAAAAACGTAAAATCCCTGTGCCCGTCGCTATTTTTTGTAAGCTGTTGTAATTTGAAATGCTAAAACGCTGTCCTAAAACCTTGAAATAGCAAAAGCAAAAAACACGTTGATTGTTCCAAAGATATATTTGCTTTTTTTGTGCTTGTTTTGTTTTGCTCTTTGCTTTTTTTTAAGTGTGAAGGGTAAAAAAAAGTATAAGTTCAAAATTTGAAATAAAAAAAAAATCGCGGATTTATTTTTTGACGGAAACAGTATGATCAGTTACCTTATTTACCTTATGACAAAAAATCGAGGACATTTCTTATATAAATACTTATAAAGAAACATTCTACCTTCCTATGAATGTGAATTAAATCTTCTTCACGAGTTTCACACTAAAACTTTCAACAGAAATCTCAATTGATCAAAAGTTATATAAATATCCGTACTCTGTCTCGGCCTGTTTTCTAACGGGTATCGATCTACACTGGTCAGTGTATTTGGCACTTGTGCCTTTGCTTGACCTCAGGTAATTAGGTCAGGGTGGATCAAGGATCGCCGATAATCCCTGCTGTGTAATTACAGCTGGTCAACAGATAACCAATTCTCGCCTGCTGAGGATAAACATCACGGTTTGACCATACAGACTTGTCTACTGGCACGTGTATAACGGCGTGTCGCGTGCAACTAGCATACAGTAAAACGTTAATCAAATATTTTACCTGTAGTTATTGAGCAATGATGATACAGGTTACTCCAGGCTGTCTGTGAGGATGAAAACCATTACAGGCGAGAATCTTTAGGAGAGGAACTAATATAAGCTCTAAGCTTGCTTACCAATCCCAGTGTAATTATATATGTATGTAATTAACATGTTTGAATATTGAATAAATACTGTTTTAAACTAAGAATACCCCATACCTGTATTTGCCAATGTAACAACATTGTAACTACTGTATTTTACTTTAATTATTATCGAAATATTATACATTTATGGACTTCAGGTGAGGTCTATCCCTGATTTATGAACCTGGTCTGAACAATATTCACAGAAGCCGAAGGCCGAGGGGAATATTGTTCAGAGCAGGTCCGTAAATCAGGGATAGACTGAGACTGAAGTCCACAATTGTTTTATTATATGACATTTTACAATGAGATTATGGATGGCATGGACTATTTTGGAATCACAGAGTGAAGGACTTCAAATACAAAATAACATACACAAAAATTGAATTTCAGATTCAATTCATGTGATATTTAATTTCAAGTAAATATTGTTTGCACAATCGACATCATTAATATTCACATAGTTCAGAATTTAATGAGATCATTCATATGTAGTTGAATTCAGCTGTGTGTTTGGTAACAGAATTACAGACTAGCTGGGAAATTGCCTAGGCCTATTTTTAGTAGCGGTTTGCAACACTTTTCTATTTATAGGTCGAGGTCTGGAACACTTTTCTTTTCAAAGAACGAGGTCTTGAACAGATGATTTGATTGCAATTGGCTGTTAATCGATGTCGGGGAAATTACCCAGGTCTTTTTTTAGTAGCGGTCTGTAACACTTTTCTATTTATAGGTCGAGGTCTGTAACACTTTTCTATTCATAGAACGTGGTCTGTAACATATTTACAGACTCGTCACATGACGTCGCTCCTCCAATCAGGGCTGGGAATTAGCACCAGTCATATAATAACACATGATAACGCATTTACCAAGATTCGAATGCGTTGAATCGAATCATGCTATATAATTTTACCTAATTTCTAAGTCCAAACGTACAACTGGCCAACACAAACACTGCCTTCTAAAGATATTTAAATTGAGTTTAAATTTAAAATACTCACCAAGTCGTTTTGCTTCGTACTTTTGAATACAACACGTGTCTAGGTTTGTTTTAGTATGTTAAATACTCTAGAATTTAAAAAAGAATATTTGTGGTGTCACTTTACGCTAATGTGTTAATGAGGTATAGAAAGATGGTGTATTATATACGGGTTTGTTGTTATTGTCTTCGTTAATTATGCGCAGATTTAGCATACATAGGTATATCTGTGTCATATCTAGGTAAGAGGGTACCTCAATGACCTTGGAGAGATAGAAGGTCATTTGTATTTTATGGCTCAGGCAGGTACGGGTACAGGTAAGTGGCATTGATTAAGTCCTTTAACGTCGTTCTACTGTTATACATAGTACGTTATTATAATTATTTTTTTGCCTATGTTTGACGTAATTGTTTTTACTAATCAAATCAAATGTTAATTTAGAGAAGGTACCCCCGTATTGGCCATTCTTCCAGGCACATGTCTTTTTGTTTTTCTTCCTTCTACAATCGCCGAGATTTCCTTTAGAGGCATAGACGTTTATAACTCGTTTTGTATCCGTCTGTACCGTTCAGATAAGCAGATATTTACACAGGACGAACTACAATATCCAAAACGGGGTTTATCAACTTCCAACAGGAAACATAATACCGAGATAAGCAGTATATGGTTCAGGAATAAAACTCGGTATTTTTTTTTAGACCGAGTTGTTTCCCTTTAGTCATTAGTCGTACATAGGTTGATTTTCCCCCCAAAAAGGTTGTGAGCTCACCATTTTCACCATTGTGCAGTTAATTTAGGGATTGTTATTTACACTTCATTAATTACCCAGCGCCATCGTTGAAAGGCTCACAGGACCGCAATTATATGATTCACTCCCCTGACGTCAACGTTGGTAGGTCTGTCTAGGACAGATGTCACATATATGTTGGGACCAGGTATAAAATAACATATCATTACATCCACCAGGTTAGTATTGAAAAATTGATTTTTATAATTTGTTGGTATTAATGATTTTGTTTCAGGTTTCAATATGTTATGCCCTCTGATCTATTATTTCATATTTTTCACTTCTAAAAGGCCTATTAATTAAAAATCTACAGGGGTTTGGGGTTGGTATAGAAATATATTTTCCATAACTTAAAAAGTTGATGCATAGAAATGGTAATTCACGTGCGCTATCTAAGTCCCGGTATACATGCAGTAATAATACATAAGGCCAATAATATTATAGGTCTTTCTTGTATCACCATTGGTACCGTTGTATGGCACTACGTAAATCTCATGACCTCATACTTTAAACTGTTTCGGTACCAGCTTACTGTTTCGGACATTTAGGAAGGAATAGAATACCTAGACTGTGTGGTATAACAAAACGGATAGCTCAACTTGTAAATGTTACCGCAATATACCAGCATAATGACACTCCTGTCGTTACATTTCCTGTTTTATGCAGGCTAGCATGTATTTCCCTGTTTGTAGTGTAGATTGCACATCCTCATCAGTTCATTTTACTCAGATACATATTAAGCCATAGTTTATACGTTTCTGAGTAACTTCAATATTTCACACAAAAAGCTGGCACCACGCCCATACTTCAGTTTCTTTTTTTTAACATGAAAATACCTATTAGTGAATTACAGATAATACCACGGAATATGATGCTATCTAATTAAGTCCGTGATAATACGCTTAAATTGATGTACATGTATGTATATTATAATACATAATAATTATCCCTTGTGGACGCTTTAGCAAAGACAAGATAATAATGAAATTTCCCTCTTTCTAGAATAAGAACGCGGAAAATGCTCGTATGAAAACAGCTAGTGCACGTTCCTGGGATACAAAATCATTTTCACCTTTAGAAAACCCTCAAATAACCTAACAATAGAATAAGTAGACACTGTAGAAGCTCGGCAGATAATTAAAAGCACGTGAGTAATGTGATGTACCGCCGTAAACGTGAATGACAATATACTCGGCATACGTCAGCTTGCTGCAGCGGCTGAAGGAAAACCCAATGAGCGAGTGCGGTACATCTTCACGGCAAGACACATCGGCTGTTCCAATAATATCATTTACTCCATCTTTCTATGAATCATAACTCGTGACTTAATACGAGATGCTTAGGCGATTTTAATCTTATCGGTGGTATTGTAAATAGCTGGTAGATTAAATAGACTCCCGCCTGAGCCCGGTACAGGTACATGTGCATTTATTATGTAAAGAGGACCGTCTCCGGCTTGACCCCGAGGGAATGACATCACAGCATTACTAAGCCATATTTTGCATTGACTGGTGAAGCGGCCATTTTCCTGCAGACATTCTACTTTTATTTGGACGATATGGGGGATATTATTGAGTAAGCTGTGCAGCTGATGATCTTGTTCACATCAGAAAACCTTGTTTTATAAAATGTGTGGATTTATTAAGTGAATACTGTCTGTGTGTGATGACTGAACGAGAAATCGCCCGTGTTGGCCAGCACGCGCGACTTCAGTCTCGCACCTGCCTTGACCTAATCAATTTCTATGTTTATTTTTGGACAGCTAGGGGTATGACATTTGACGTAGGGATATCTCGGATGATAGGGATGTAACGGGTGGCAACAATGGACACCAACCCATCGGATTACTACTACAGGGAGTATGGAACCGGCGAGGGAGAACTGCCATTTGCCATGCTTCAGCTTGATCCACCAGACCGAGCCGTGTTAAAAATAGCAGGTATGTTTATAAATCGTTTTGTGTAATCTTCCTCCAGAAGCGTTTTATCTTATCAGTCACATCCATGATTCGTGTATTGGTATGTTGTTAGAACTATCATATTTCCACCATTACACTGTTGCTAAATATAACCCGCGGTTCTACCGTGACCTTAGAATCCACGTGTTATGTCAATCAATTTTCACCGGTAATGCAAATATATCGTCGTGTTTTCTCCAAGTAAACACTCCGAAGGTGTCCTTTGTTTACGTTGTCATGTTGAATTGTTGATGACACAGGCGTACTTACCATGAACGCTTGTTACTATTATTGATTAAACTCCACACAGTCAAAGTGAAACCTCGCATTAAAATCTAGGACATGTTATGTTACTTATAGTGTAGGTACAAGCGTGTACAGATTCGGGACCTCCACTCCGCCGAATTTGTTACTAAATTTAGACCCCATTGATACGTCACTGGAGTGGTCCCCCTACCTCCGCGGTAGTAAATCCTACAGCTGTTATTGCCCATGCAATGATGTCATGGTTGACTGACTACACAGGTACAATTGTCACCTGTGTAAGGAGCATGTGTATGTTCTGTAGTGAAACATTGGGCACATACCAAGGGTGAACCTTCCCCTTGAAGGCTGGGCAGGGAAAGTCACAGTGCCTCTTATGTGTTTTACTTGTTATAAACGAGAGGACATTTATTTGCGCTCTGGGATTTAAACACATGAGTCAGTGGTGGTGTTGGTGAGCTACTTGTGAAGTAAAAATGTCGCTGTGAGGACTTTGATAAGGTGGACTGACAAAGTTTTTGTTGCACTTTCGAGACCCGTGTTCAAGCGGTGTATATAGTTATCACCGATGTGTGATTTACCTGGATTCTCACCTGGGAATTAATCAGTGCTGATTAGATTTGAATGATCAGATTACATAATTGGGAGGATACAGATAAAATTCTAGTGACGAAAATATTAGGTGTATACCAGGTTCAAATAATGCAGGCATTAAATTTCTTATCTTAAAGTGTGGAAAGTTTAAGGTGTTGTAAAAATGTGGGGTAGTACTTCGCAGTATGACCCAGCGGAGGTCCCCCCCTCCCCTCGGGCCATGATGCAGTATGAAGAAAACCGGAGAAAAGAGTCGGGTAGGTATATAGCTATAGGCTAGTGTGAGGTCGTACCTCTATCCGTCAACAAGAATAACCCTACTTAACCTTTATGCCCAGGTAGCATGCGATTTTAAATGAGCGGGTATTGAGATTTATACCTGTAATTGTTATATAGGTATATAAGGTGTAATATCGACCCTGTAACAAATACACTATTGTATAGAACATTCCCGTCCTATTGTACACATGTAATATAATATAAATATTTTTCTAAATAGGTTAATATGGCATTTACTCTTGTCGATGTTGACATAGCTATGAAATGTGATCTGGGTCAATTATCAATGGTATTTGTTAAGAGTACATAATCTATATTATATTTCTAAAAATGATGCATGCTTGATTTAGCACATTCAATAATGTTGAAAGTGTGTCGTGACTTCATAAGTACTTCTTTATTTAAAATTTTCATAAAAACATTGTAATGACACTAGTATGGGCTATAAAACTGTTAAAAAAAACCTAAAATGTTTTTTCTCACTTCAGATTTTGTTTGTGTCATAATTATAACTACATAGGAATGTTACTGGGTTTTTTCCCCGAATATCCAAAATGATCATAAAAACTTTGCATGGTAAGTTAATGTTTTAAATTGTGAGGAAATGTTTTTGAAATAATAAGTTGGCTTTTGAAAATGAATTCCTAATTAACATATGAGTCACCTGTTTATGAAATCTGGATTTAATATATACAGCATTTTAAGATTGTATGAATATCTCAGATTTTATGACAGTTTAGTGTCAACGTTTAGCCTTGTCGCCAGCTCCTGGGGCTGTTTTGAAAATTAAAATTTTAATGTGGTATGCGTAGAATCAGATGAAGCATAATTTCAGACTTTAATGCAGCGAATAAAGTACAAGCTAAAAACAATGTACTGTACATGGATGTTATGTATTGAATAGTGGAGTAGGTCATTGATGACATGGGTATCAAAATTAATTTCTAAAATAAAAAAATAAAATAACCCTGGGAGCCTTTAGTGTATATTCATCTATTTGGCATAGGTGGAAGAAGAATTTTGGGGGTTAAGGAGTTGCTTTATACTCTCTTAAACTATTGATATAATCATACAGGTAATAAATATGTTATTATTTTCCTGAAACAGAGAAAGAAGATAACCAACAACATACGTGTGTACTTTAGAATAATAATTGTTCAAGTAATAGCCGGAGGATATAATTAATTTAGGATGTTTACGCACCAGGTACCAGATCACAAATTAATATATAAATATTTACATTGTTTAATGCACACCTCAAGAGGATTGTAACATTCACTAGTTAAGAACAGTAGATACTAGGGGAGCTGACAACCTGTAGCAGGGCATTGTAGAATGACCGTCCCGTCACGTTAGATTGTAATATATGTCGCTGTAGAGGAGAAGAGAATAATGCCACATTCCCCTAAGGACAGTGGTTTGTATCCCATTTGCTCCATGACAAGAAACATATCCGTTGACAAAATGTTACAGTGAGTTAGAATATATACCCCCCCTCCCCTGGTAATCTTGTCCAATGTACTGTCACAGAACAGTGAACAAGCACAAATATCTTCAAATGTTATAGCATGATGTTTCAGTGAGATAGCACTATAGTGTCTTTCAATCATGAAAGAATTACAATGTTTGTGTAATGACATTTTGGTGAGATAGCACTATGGTCTGATATTTGTGACATGACATTTCAGTGAGATAGCACTATGGTCTGATATTTGTGACATGACATTTCGGTGAGATAGCACTATAATTTGGATTGATTTCCTCCATGCTTATATATGTTTTACCAGAAAATCAGAACAGAAAGGAAACCAAAACTAAAAAAATGTATACAAACTGTTGGCTAAATATGTATATATAGACCATTTCAACCAAGTGATGATTGATCACACTATATATTTATGTATATTTATTTGATTGAGATTATCCTTGGATATGACATGAAACCAATGTAGCTGTGACAATAGTTATGTGAGATTTGTAAGGTAATTTGTTGCCTTGTTGATAACCGACTGAAGAACGTACAGATGTGTTAAGAATTAAGATAGTACAATGAAGTTCATGTACATATTTCATCATGTACTTTTTGTGTTATTCTGAAATAGTTAATGTGACCGAATGGAATACTGTTTTGGGTGCCTTTGGCATGGTATTTCAGTGAGGTAGCACTCTAAAAGTCGGCATCAGTGTCATGCTATTACAAGCAGGCAAATACACCAGCATACCCTGCCTCCAGCACACAAACACACAAGCAGGCATACATTACACACATGGAGGCAACCTTAAATGACTTTAGCTGTTGATAGGATATTAAACAAAAATAAAACCAAACCAACCATCCTGTTACAGGTACAAACTTTGTTCAAAACCGTTCCCATGAAAACTTGCATCATCATTATGAAATGCAATTTACACCTGGCTCAAATTTATTGTGTTCATTTATCCATACATTGTTTCCTTGATATTTATTAAGTTTGAAATACATGTATGATGTATATATTAAGTAAGGTTAAATTTTAACTGAGAAAGTTGTACTTTCTACAGTGTGTTTTTCTTCCCTTCAGACCTTGCCTACATTTCTAACACTGCCTTCAAAGCACTTCCTCTTTTTCTTCAGATTGCGAATGAAATAAAATTTATTATAGATATACCTACTAAGTGATTTATGGAGCGTGTTATTGGTATATTTGATATAATTATGAATCTATAATGAAATTTGGTCTAATTTCCATCATTTTTTTCCCATTCACAGATGAAAGGGATGCCGTTCAAAAGAAAACATTTACAAAATGGATTAATAAACACTTGCTGAAGGTAAGGGTGAAATTTATGTCTACGATTGCTTAGTTAAAACAGGTGTATACATATATGTTGTCACATTTCAGTGGAGCGGACCTCGGTTTGAAAAATTATCTGGTATGCACATCCTTACGTAAAATTTGTATTCCTATCTCTAATACACCCTAAATGTTATGTTGATATATTTTTAAAAGTTCACTCCTCCGCGAACTTTTGTGCCATATTTCATCTTTTCAACGTGAATTATGTTAGCTTGAGTGCACCAGACTATGGCGATTCACGGTATACAAGGCCATCAGTCGGAGGTAGAATTTCACCGTTTCTTTTACGTGTAATAAGAGGCGACAGATAGGTAGATGATGGCCTTCGTGTCTTTTATTACATTGGTTGGTAAAAACGGGCCATTTTCCCAGCCCTGCTTATACTATTTTGTACATGATGAGAAACTATTCATAAAATTATTATGTATCGTATATCTGATTTTAGCATTTTTTAAATACTGCACATGTTGTTAAATTAGATTCTATCACACATCAACAACCCTTTCTAAATTATCTTAGGATTTAGAAAACTTAATTTGTTGTCAGCTTTACTGATTTGGAAATATTGAAAGTGGTTTCAAAATATGATCTATATGAGTACCTGATGATATGTGTTGAGTTTTCTTTCCATAAAGAGAGATAAAAGTGTGATGTGAACAATTTTAAGAAGGACAGGAGAAAGTTGAGGAAACTGAAATAAAAGCATACCTCATACGATAACACATTATCTAACTTAGTAATACCTCTATACAACTAGCGGTTAACTGTAAGTGGAGACTCGAGGCAGACAGTAATAGTCACATCCACGATTGCCTTAGTACACAGCACTATACAGAATCCGGTTTAAATTTAAGTGAAACAAAAAGTGTTGAATTTTGCTGTCTAATCGTATACTTTATTTCAATCTAGTTATTTTTTGCTGTTTTTAAATTGGTTCAGATATTGTATATCTGATTGTACGTCTTGGGTGTTTGGGAAGGGACATTTCTGATTGTACGTCTTAGGTGTTTGGGAAGGAACCAAATTGCTTTGATGACGCCAACATGTTAGATGTTTAAGGATGCATTTTTTTAAAAAAAATTTTGACTGTTCGTATACCGGTAGTTAATGCAGATTTGGATGTGGGCTGATATTGGGAGAGATTCTTTAATGTAATTTTGCAGTAGAAAGACAAAACTGTTGTTAAGATGATGATGAGACATTGACATTGTGTGAGAGGTTCACTACAAGGAAACTGATTGTATAACCATACTGTGCTGATGAACCTTCAGAAATCAATCAACCAATCGTTTCTAGACTTTGGAAACCAAAAAGAAAATGTTCTGAGTAATGATATTGATGCCATTTCAATGAATAATTGGTTTCGTTTTAATGTCCTGTTAACAGCTAAGGTTATCCAAGGATGTGCCTCTGTGTGTAAGGTATGCATGTTTGCTTGTGTCCTGGGATTAGTGGCTGTTGGCGTATTGGTCTCCTTGTGATAGCGCAAATCTGATGCCATCTTTATAGTGCTACCTCACTTAAATACCATGCTGAAACCCAGCATTGCATCCACCTAGTCACATTACATGTATATTGTTAATGGGGTAAGCAGTTGTTGCAATTACCCAAAATGCTGAACATCAATTGCCAGCAGGGAATGACAATTTCCATTTATCAGTACTTTAAATTGGTATGTCCTGTCGATGAGTAAAAAAGAAAACCCCCTGATAAACAAGTCGCTCGACTTCTGGCTATTGACATTCTTCGGTCCTCAATGACTCTATCATAATTGGTTAATTCTGAAGGGTTGCAGCATTACTTGGTCGTAAACCATCCCCCGAAATTTGGAAAAAAAGACACTATTATAGCAGTTTGTTCTTAGAGAGCACACTCAATCTTTTTATCTTTTTAATGACATCGCATTTCATTGCGAAGATCGTTTGATGTGAGAGGTACTTAATTGGCTAATTAACTGGTATGACCTTGACAATCAGTGTGAGTGACTATGATTAATAGAAATGCACTCCAGTGTGTTTACGAGTCGGTGTGTAATTAACAACCTGACATCAAGTATTTAAAATGATCTCATTTCAATTCAAATCAACTACTTAACAAAATATCTCCCCTGTTTTTATCAAAAAAACAACAACAAAAGAACTGAAAATTTCTCAATAAAACCAAACAATTAGATATGATGTCTGATTTATGAAGGAACGTTGTGTGGTTTTTTCCGATAATAAACATTAAACAGTAAAAATGTTTTTAAGCAGCATTCACAATTTTCCCATGAATTTAGCCAGGTTTTGCTGTATAGTATTTCCATTGATGGGAGATTTCGTTTACCAACTTCAATGGTAAACTATTGGTCTACATTGTCTATCAGTAGTTTTATGTCTATTTCGGTGTGGGTTATGGTAGAATTCTCCCATTTTTATGTGCAATAGGTACAAATGTTGTTGGTTGTAGGTAGGAATTAGGCCACATAAATGCTGTTATGATTGTAGGTAGGTGGCCACATAAAGGCTGTTATTGCCCTGGGTTAGGGCCGGACCTGTATAGTGTTAGGCAGCCGAGCCCTGTCATCAAACTGGCGGTCATTTGTCACCTCTAACTACTTGACCAGAAGCTATTTTTGACAGCTTTGCAGGTGTGCACCATGAAACACTTTCATCATTTACAATGTGGGCTTCTTTCACCTGAAATCGTCCAGCGTGGCCTGTCACTTAAATGTAGCTGATGATGTAAACACAGAGTGGCAAGTGTTATTGATGACAACAGTGCTACTGTGGGAAGGTTTGACCGATGTGGTCAAATGATTCATATAAACTTCATGTTAGCTATTACAGTAGGTAATACTACAAAGTTTATTTGAGAAAATAAAAGTCTTCTACCCAGCTACTTAATTTTTGGCTGTAAACATACAATACCTTAAAAATTAAACATTGTCTCTATTTAAAATATGTTCAGTGGAGCTAATACAAAATGAAGTAGTAATTTCACTTTATACATGTCTATCAAACAGGCGAAATATACATTTCGCTCTTGTCAGATCTGCTGGGGATTGATTGACACACATAAACTGAAACGCATATTTCTGGTCTTGAGGAGAACCATATGTTTTACCTACTCCATCGTAATGGGTGGTACATAGCAGTGTTTCTAACAGTGTTTTGTTTACACATAAAACCGATATAAAATATGCACATTGTGTGAAAATTTTGACAATAAAATATGATTTAATTAAAAAAAATGTTAAAGTGTATAATAATTTTCCCATAAATTATGGAATAACAGCTGCCAGGGAATACTTATATTTTAAGTTCACTCACGTATGAGAAAGTTCACATTAATCATGCTGGCACAATGTGTTTAGGTTTGTGAAAAATGCTTAGATAGCCTTTTTTCCGGTAAACAATGTAACTTAATGATAGAAAGGTTGGGGATGCATGGTAGCATGTTGTTATATATACAGTTGCAGTTTCTAGGGTCTGTTTTAATTTAATTATGTCGTCTTCCTGTCTGTCTGTCTTAGCTATCTTCTAATTACTAGTAGCCCATTCTGCAGGATAACCTTTCTGTAGGCGGACGAGAGGTTGTGAGTTTAATACTGGCTGGTCAAGTCATTTATAACGGTATATGTATATATATGTACAATTCAATCATTGACTTAAAAAAAACATGCTTTGTTCCCTTGCTAATATGTATCTAACAACATTGATGTAATTATAATCAAAAGGAGATGCAATGCATTTCATTGTTTGCTATAAGGTCGTTAAGTTGCCAGTATCTCGGTTCTTCTGCCCACTGTTGTACACAGAAATTTCAGATTCTACCCACTGTCATTAGTTTTTATGTCAATAGTTACAAGAGTTTTTTCTTTTGAGTTTTATTTTCCTAATTGTTTTTTTTATAAAGACACCCATATATGTCAAAAAAAAATTACTCTTTGTCGCAAAAACTTTTGAATTTCCTTGCAATATTGAACCAAAAAAAGATAACCAAACTTAAAATCTGTATGACATGTGCTTATATATTTGCAGTGTCCTGATTGGTTTCTCAAAATATTATTGATGAATAATTCATTAGATGTAAATTATATCACAAAGTTTAACTGATAACACTTACACATGCTGTCTATGCTTCAGACATCAAATGCCTGGGTGATTGGAGTTTTGTCTGCCTAAATAAAAATAAAGAATGTGTATCATTTCAATGTGAATAGACTTTAAATGCAGCGTGTAGGTAGCTGTTACTAATCACAGGAAAACGATTTTAGTTTTATGGTTGAAAAATTTTACGACGATAAACAGATTGATCTGGAACTCGTAGATAAGTGAATTTTATATTTCCGAGTTGTCAGTTTGCACACACAGGTTTTAAAATTTGTAAGATTGGGATGGTTTGATCGATGAGATTTCAGCACAGTTTGGACAGGTCTGCAGAGATTTATCTCGCAACTTAACATGTTTCGTTCATGGTAATAAGATCACGAGATGAATATCTCATCAATATATACACAACATTTTACGTTAATTACAGGTACAACAAGCAGGGCGGGTCTAATTACAAACACTGATGAAAGGATTTTTTATTTCTTGTTTTGAAACTACATTGTATAGATTATTGGATACTGTAAAATATGAAATTCATTCGTACATCCACAAGGGCAGATAGCTATAGACTGACCATTTAGGAAGGTCATCCCTTAGGTTGGTACTATGATAGCGATAACTCAGGGAATATATAGAGGATATTCAACTGGTGTCTCATATAAATATCATATTTGTCTCAGGGGTATGACAGAAAGATTTGACATACATATGAAACACACAATATGTTTTTTTCCCCAAAAGATTGCTAGAGACCCTTAACTCATTCACCCCTGAAATTTTACAATGGACTATTCCAACCCTTGAAATGGAAGAGTTCAAATGTGTCTTCAGGGGTGAATGAGTTAAAAGATAAAATTGTGTTGAAAATTGATTGGATGGC